CATAAAACAAAAATCGATAATTTTGACCCACACAATGTATTTTTGGCTATTGCTACAAATATACCCCAGCGACTTAAGACTGGTTTTGTGCTCCAGGGTCACATATGGTAACAACAACAACTCTGCAAACATACCACTACTTTCCTTCTCCTCTTCGTCTCCTTACTAGGGGTGTGCGATATTGGCAAAAAAAATTATATCTTGATATTTATTGGGATTTTTTCGATAACCATATTTAAACAATATATTACTTAGTGTGTTTTTGCGCTGGTACTTTGGCTGGTTTAGGCCCATTACGGATAAATAAATATGACACTAAAACTGCCACTAGGTGGCAGCAAATCCCTGTCTTAATGAGTGATTCATTGAATCATTCATTCAAACGATTCGTTCAAAATGGCTGATTCATTTAGAAATGAAGCAAGTGACTGTCTTTACGAATGGATCATTGAATCATTGACTCAAGTGATTCATTTAAAAACAGATTCGTTCAGGAACAAAACGCCGCAGTTGCTCTGAGACGCACAAATGTTCTTCTCTGGTTTGTTTGAAATGGTTTTCATTGCTGAAACAAAGAGAATGTTGTGTCTTAAATGTAACTCACTCAATATTAACCTCTTGTTTGTTGAACTGCTCATGCGCTGATATTTAGGAAAACAGCTGTTGTCTGTGTGATATTACCTGTGTGATATAAATATAAAAACTAAAACACAAACAGGGATATTTTTTGTTTCATAACTTGGATTTTATGGTCATTCTAAGTGCATTCTAATAGGCTTCATCACACAGTCAATGCTTTTGGACTCTCAAGACGTGTTTTTGTTTGTTTTTGTGTGTGTGACATTCTCGATTATGTCTGCTCACATATCGTTAAAACAACAATTACTATATTATCACAGACAATAAATATCGCACACCCCTACAGTCCTTACATTATTTAATATCTTAAACGCACTGTTAAAAATATTCATATAGGCTCTTCAGGTCAGTTTATTGGTGCATAGGTACTTTAAAGTCACAGTACATGTCAGAAATGCAACGTTTTTATAGACCCTTTTAGAACCGTTTTAGTTTTACAAGCACAAACTTATTATCTTGATAATCAAGGTTACAGTAATATACTGACTTTCCCACAGAACATCTGCAAGGTTTCTTGAACAAACCAAGCCTGCCGTTCCTAATACAAGCACAGTATCAACAAAACGCCACACCCAGCACAAGCCGCAGGCTGTTGTCCTGGCCCTAGACCGAGTAAACGCCGACACCCCTTCAGCTACAATGGATGTAATGTCATCTGCCAGTCCCGGGCGAGCACCGCAGCTGGGTGGAAAGCAGGGATGGAGCACAGTGAGCCGCGCCCTCCACGCCACACACAGGGGTGAGAGCCAACGAGCCCCGACACGCCGGGACAAATTGAATCAACTTTTAGCTGTTACACTTGCAACTGTTCTATTTGGAAAAACTAGTCAAAATTGTGTTTTATTTATACATTTTGTCATTTTACGCCAATATACATTTGATATGTTTTAAAAAATATATCTATTCTGCTCACCAACACTTTTCAAAAATAAAGGTTCTTTATTCGCATCAGTGGTTCTGTGAAGAACCTTGAACATCCGTGGAACCTTCCAAATGCAGAAAAGGTTCTTTACAGTCGAAAAAGGTTCTTTAGATATTTAAAACATTCTTCAAAATGGTTCTTTTAGGAACTGTTCACTGAAAGGTTCTTTTGGGGAACCAAAAATGGTTCGTCTATGGCATCACTGCAAAAACACCCTTTTAGAACCTTTATTTTTAAGAGTAAAGGCTGCATTTACTTCATCAAAAATGCTATATTGTCAAATATTTTTACAATTTAGAAAAACTGTTTTCTATTTGAATATAGTTTAAAATGGAATTTATTCCAGTGATGCAAAACTGCATTTTCACCATTCCAGTCTTCAGTGTCACATGATCCTTCATTAATCATTCTAATATGCTGATTTGCATATTAGAATGATTTCTGAAGGATCATGTGACACTGAAGACTGCAGTAATCGTGCTGAAAATTCAGCTTTGCATCACAGGAATAGACATTTACATTTTAAACTTTAGAAAATGGTTAGTTTAATAATAGACTTTTCAATATTACTGTTTTACTGTATTTTTAATTATTTCAAATAAATGCAGCCTTGGTGAGCACTTCTTTTAAAAACATTAACAAAAAACTTATTCCAAACTTAGTGGATCTGTATGGGCACATTTTAGATCAGTATCAAAACAATTAATGAATACATAAATTCAGTTAATTTTGATTGAACAATTATACATGGTAATTTTCTCTCTTCATATATTTTTAGATTTTTCGTTGACTTCTGCAGCAGGTGTGTTATTCAGTCTGATACATTTCTGCTCTGCCTTTTGTTTAGGCTTGCCTCATCACGGAAACTACAATTCAAATTCCATCGTAAGCCTTCAGCCTCCACCTCAGGATTTGGGGCAGATCTATATTTTCGGTCGTTCACCTGTGCTTCCCAAAAAGAGAAACGGTTTGTTCTCGAACCCCATCAAGGCGCAGCATTGGGCATATGAAACCACAGCTCCCTCTGCTGGTGGATATCAAACGGTCAGCAGGGACCCGGTCCAGAAAGAGGCCACCACAGCGCCTCAGTCCATTCTGGTCAAACCAGACGCTCATAAGCACAATACAGAGAAGGTAAAACAGCTCCTGCAAACAATTTAGGACTAGGAGTTGTGATGTTCTAGGATTGTATGAGATTTTTCATTCTTAAATACTCTAAAATGTTCAAACGAATTACATCGGCATTTTGTTTTGTTCTTTTAGCCAGTAAAGTCAGTGCGGTTCCTGACTCACGATGCTCCTCAGACATCAAAAATGGCGTGCACCTCACCTGCAGGACAAATCTCTAGTTCCCAGCCTGGTCTTTCGGCTCTAGACCACTGGAACCCTTCAGCCATCTTGGGTCGGGATGGAAGTACATTAGTTTTTAAAGACACAAAAACACCCGCACCCAGAAAGAGCACAGGCCCTGCTTCTATGGACTGCCTCTCGCTAAATATGAAGCCAGTACTGATCAACAACCAGCCCGGCTCTAACAGGTGGGTTTTCTTGAAAAGGAGTCATTGCGTTATCTGATCTAATGGCTCTTGTGTTGCAAACGAGCTAGTAATGAGTGGCAGATTTTTTTCTTACATCGGGAAAATTGTCAGTAAGCCGATATGGTATTTTTTCGAGATTTATTGAGATAATTCACCGAAACTGTTTTAACAGAAAAACATTTCCTGTCAGAACGAGAAGAAGCATTGAGATATCCTGTATAGCACATCCTGGTATTTTGCGTTTGGTGCATTCTGACCGGCTAATGTTGTTTTCTTCAGATTTAGGGTAATGAAAGGTTACAACGCTAAAGCAGAGCTCACGCTGACGGAAGGAGAAATAGTCGTCGTTCAGAGGCCTCGAGCGGACGGAAGGATTCTCGTGACCCAGGAGATCAGCGGAAAAACGGGCCTTTTCCACAGCAGCGTCCTGGAAATCCTAGACAAAGTGCTTTGAGTGCCACAGTTTCTTCTGCACACGTTCTTCGTCCAGCGCTGTGTTTATAGTCACACCGTTTTAGCCTGTTGTGTCACAAACCTAAATTAAAAGCAATATCCTGTGTACTTAGACAAATCACGTCTTGTTTCATGCACACCCACTTGGCACAAAAACTAGGCTTTTCTTCATCATTAGTCAGTTCTGACAGATAAGCGTGCCTTTTTGTATGTTGATTCACTGTTTGCACTTTTAGATGTGGTGAGAGGTGGGGAAGTTTGTTAATTCTAGGAAACTAATGAGTATCTTTGACTGTTGGAGAAAGGGAGGCCTAATGATGACTTGCTCAAGCTTGTCTGTTTCACGCACAAAATCCTGTCGTCTCAATACAGTAATGGTGGATTAGTTTTGTTGTATAAAACATCATAGCGTCTATATCCTGACGATGGAATTCTTCAGCGTTCCTGTTCTCAGTCCCTTTTTTGGGGGGGAAATTGGTAAACTAATAATAATAATAAACATAAAGAGTTCAGAATTTTCTACCGATTGGGCTTTTTTTGTGTGCTTTGCATTGAATTGGATTTAGGACTGATGTTATTGTTTACATTAAAAACATTTTCTCCTTTTGCACATAAACTGAGTAATATACAACAGCAGCCACTTCACATTAATTGTTTGTCATATCAGAGAATACAGACTGAAGCAGGATAAAAAAAATAATAATAATAATTCAGTAACAATGGGATTAACACTGGTAATAATAAACATTTCAGATTGAGAAAAGGATAAGAATATGAAATTATTTTTGAGGCAAAATATATTGGCTATTAACTGATTACATGTAATCTGGATTATGTAATCAGATTAAAAAAATTAAGTATTTCTAATTAGATTAAATTACATTTTAAAATACTCGTAATCAAACTACAGTTACTTTTTTTATTGATTACATATTATTCACCCAAGTCTTTGTCTTTGGAAGGCTTGTCTTTCAAACACATTGAAAATGAACAAATTCACGTTATTTCTTATTTACATGCAGGTAAAAAAAACAAAAAAAAACTTTTTAGTAGGTATTTTATTTTGATTGTCATTTTAAAATTATTTTAATTTGACATTTTTATGATTTAGCTCTTAATTCAACTCACAAACCCCTGCATTTCGTTCATGAACCCCGAAACCTTGACGCAACTTCAACGAATGGAATAAATTTTCATGATCTTTGTATTTTTTTTATTTTAATATGGCACAAGATTATCCTATTTAAATCAATGTGATAAACGAGTTAGGTCAAAAGTAGTCAGATTATTTTAGGCTACCTAAAAATGGGTGTAACGGATTACGTTACAACTACAATTTTTATCATGTCATTTGGAATCAGTAACTACAATTTGTAAGTAATCTACCCAGCACTGTCTGGCTGTTAAACATTGATATCCATAAATATGTATAGACCCATCACCGCGCATGCGTAGTAAACGCTAATTTGGGATGGGCGCTTGAGCTGGAAAAATACATCATCCACCGAATGAGCTCATCGATGGTCATTTCAGACGAAAACTCCTTTATTTAGATTTTAACGAAGAGCCATATATCCGATTCTAAAAATGCCGGTAAGATTATAATCTCTTATCTTCATCTATCGCAGTGTAATGTGTGTGTTGTTATGCCCCACCTTCCCGTCATTCCTTTGCTTTGCAACCGGAATCTCCTGCAGATATTCACAGACTGTTATTTGACAGCGTTTACCCTTATTGTTCAATTCTATGATGCATTTAATTATTATGCGATGCTTAGTTTTGTCCTTTCTGTGACCAGAGCTGTTTTGTGCACATCAAGTTAACGTTAGCTGCCTGCTACTTATTAGCTTCATAGCAAACTCAGGGGGGGTTAACGATATTATGATCTCTCAACGAGTCAGATTTATTGAAATTAATGAGAAATTATGTTAAAACCGCTTACAACAGATAAATAACTATGTTCTGCGTGTAAAAAATGAATCTGCTTTTTTGTTGTTTGTTAATTTAGCTGTTAGCTTGACACGGGCCGAGCGGTCATATCCGCTGCTTAGCAACAGCGTTGAGTTACATCAACCCCACCTATCAAATACATTCAACATCCAGTGACCTTTACAGTAAAAGATCTTCTTTATGCACCAAGAGCTTGTAACACTCCAAAGAGAAAGGAAAAAATGAAATCGCATCATATGACCCCTTTAATGTTTTGTCTCGTCGCTCCGGCCGGGAGACGTCATCACAGTATGGTAAGAAGCGTAACATTTCCATCACACGCTTGAGGTATCCGGCCAATCACAACGCACTGGATAGCTGGCCAATCAGAGCACACCTCGCTTTTCAGACCGATGAGCTTTGTAAAAATAGACGCGTTTCAGAAAGGCGGGGCATAGAGGAGAAGCAATAATGTACAGTATGTGGAAAATAATGTTTTTTTAATCTTAAACCGCATAAACACATTTCATTACACCAAATACACAAAATAATGTTCTTTTTAGCAGCATCATATGACCCCTTTAAGAAAATCTTAGTTCACGCATAAAAAAGCCATAATTTGGTGTTTGTTTATCTATGAGTGTTCTGTGACTTCTGGAACATAAACTCGCTATAAAACGCTTAACAGTTTCACCAGTGTATTTAATTTGTCTGTTAACGATGTCCAGCAGTGGACATACATGCACAGCAGAAGATATCTGTCTTTTGTTTTTCTATTCGGTCATGAAATTTTTTTATTTACGCCACATTTTAAGTCATCCTTCATCATGAGTTGGAAAAATAGTTGTAAACATTTCTGGAATATCTCAAATAATATTTAGACATTTGTTGTTTACATAATTTAACAAAGCTTAATTGGAATTTGCAATAATCATACAGCATTAAATATTCTGCTCTTTTGCAAACTCTTAACCAGTGTTGGTAATGTTGCTTTGGAAATGTAATTGGTTACAGATTACAAGTTACCCTATCTAAAATGTAATAAGTAGTGTAACTATTTCAATTACTTTATTAAAGTAATGTAACTGATTACATTTGATTACTTTTCTAAATTTCAGTTGGTTACATTTCAATTGTTAATCGTTTTCAAACATGTAAACCAGGCAGGGTTAACCTTACAGTAGTATTCAACACTGATTATTATTACTGTCACTTTCGAAATCCTTCATCACTTGAATGAAGATTATAATAGTTTAATTTTAAAACACAGGCACCACAAAATCAGACTTACTTTGAGATCATTCTGAGGTTAAATACAGATTTAAAACATTACAAGAAATATGATACTGTTTTTGAAATCAAATCTTTGCATAGTTATGACAGGAAACACTTGCATCCTACAATGGCTTGAAAAAAAAAAACAGTTAATCTTAAAAATAAAGCATATACATAAACCCAAATAGGAAATAAAACAGTTATCGAATAAGCATGTGTCCTATTCTGTGTCCTAAACTCCTGAAACATTGCTGTCTCATATTTTAGAGCAGTCAATGCAATTTATGAAAGAAATCAATTAAATTTGTATGTGGATGTGTGTGAAAAATTCAGATGTAACCACCTTTGTAATAGTTAACATTTTCATAAGTAACTAATTTAATTACACATTTTTTCTCAGTAATGGTAACTGATTACAATTACATTTATTTTGTAATTAAATTACGTAATTTAGTTGCATGTAACTAGTTACTTCTCAACACTGCCCTTTACATGACATTGTGTTTGTAAACATATTTAAGGACAATTGATAGCAGTTATAATTTGTGTAAAATTTTTTTATTTTACTCATAGTTTAGATTTTACAAAATCAATTTTCACTACAAAATTGTGTATTTTTATGATGCATTTTCATATTTTCATGATGGATTTTCACTTTTTTAATGGCCGGCTTCCATTGTGCTGACAAACAGATGGTCCTGCATTAACTTATTTAAATTCATAGTTTAGATTTTAAACAGATGGTTGTGCACTAACATTTTTTAAACCGGTTTCTATTTGTCCAGAGTAATAAGCTGGATAAACCAGAGAAGGTGGAGGCGAGTGATAACGTGAAGGTGGTGGTGAGATGTCGACCCCTCAACGAGAAGGAGAAGATGATGGGACACAAGCAGTCCGTCGCTGTGGACGAGATCCGGGGAACGATTACTGTGAACAAACTTGATATGACCAGTGAGCCGCCAAAGACGTTCACCTTCGACACAGTGTTCAGTCCAGACAGCAAACAGCTGGATGTGTACAATTTAACCGCTCGACCGATTATTGACTCAGTATTAGAGGGTTACAATGGTAAGTCAAAGACAATAGAAATATTAATTGCATATATTTTCACCTTTTATCTATTTGTTTGTTTTGCAAGTTTGAAATGTTGAAGATTAACGTTTTTTTTCAGGAACCATATTTGCGTACGGCCAGACAGGCACGGGGAAGACGTTCACAATGGAGGGTGTCAGAGCAGTGCCTGAACTCAGAGGAATCATCCCAAATTCATTCGCTCATGTATTTGGTCATATTGCAAAAGCAGAAGGAGACACCAGGTGAGAATGGGGATTGTTTTTGAGTGCTGTGCTGTTCATAGGTCTTTGTGTTCATGCATGATTAATCATGAAGATACTTATCATTTGTCGTGCTTTTTCATTATACGTCTTTTCAACGTTATCAGAGACGAGCAGAGTGTTAAGATAAACTCTGGCAACATGTGTTATCTGACAGGTTTCTGGTAAGAGTTTCTTATTTGGAAATATACAATGAGGAGGTGAGAGACCTGTTGGGAAAGGACCAGATGCAGAGGCTGGAGGTGAGAAACCAGTATATTTCAACATATTCCCCATCACTGCACTTATTAGGTGTGTCGTTAAGCGGACACTCCAGTATAGGTCATGAAGCGTTTGACTAATGCATGCGTGCGTCCGCATGGTATCTGCACCCACAGAATTCTACAGAAAACGGGTTTTAAACGCATCAAACAGAATTTGATTATTCAAAGAATTCTTTGTGGGATTGTTTATTAAATATTTTTCTTTACTTGATATTAGAGGTCGACCGATAGTGGATTTTGCCGATACCGATAGCTAGGTTGGACCACACTGGCCGATACCGATTAATTAACCGATTGTTTTAAAATTGATACTGAATCAGCGTGCAGTATCACGTGTCTAAACAAATAGCACGTGCTGTCAGTGATTTCAACCACTAGAGGCCGCTCTTGCACTGTATAATGACAGCAGACCCTTCTCAGCCGCTCCAGCAATGGACGCAACCTGGGAAAACTATCGGCATGGATTTTTGACGATAACCGATAGTTCCAGCTATCAACTATCGGTGCCGATTAATCGGCAAAACCGATACATCAGTCGACCTCTACTTGATATCATTTGATAATGCTTTCAGCTACAAATTGGAATGTCACATTTCACAGATCACATTTTAACATTTAGCATATTCAATACAGTCTAGTTCGGATTTTAGTGCAGATTTTTGTTTTGATGAACACGGACTTATATAGCTAAACAACAACATACACTTCCATTCAAAAGTTTGGAGTCAGTAAGATTGTCTTTCTTTTCTAATGTTTTTTTTTTTAAAAGATGATGTTTACCAAGGCTGCTTTTATTTGAATAAAAATAGTTTTTTAAAATTCCAATTTAAAAAGAAAACATCTTTCTATTTTTATGTTTTGAAATGTATTTTATTTCTGTGTCATTCCTCCAGTCTTCAGCGTCACATGATCCTTCAGAAATCATTCTAATATGCTGATTTGCTGCTCAAGAAACATGCTGAAAACACTTGTGCTGCTTAATATTTTTGTGGAAACATTTTTTTTCAAGGTTCTTTGATGAATAGAAAAAAAACAGCATTTATTTAAAACATAAATCTTTTGTAACATTATAAATGACACTGTAGTGTCACTGCTGATTGGTTTAATCTGTCCTTCTTGAATAAAAGTATTAATTTCTTTTAAAAAAAAAGAAAAGAAAAAGAAATCTTACCAACCCCAATCTTTTGAATGTGTAACCTTTTAAGACCTCATTTGTAACCCTGGACCACAAAGACACATATAAGGGTCAATTTTTTAAATAAGCTTTCCATTGATGGTTTCCATATGGTTTGTTAGGATAGGACAATATTTGGCAGAGATGCAACTATTTGAAAATCTGGATTCTGAGGGTGCAAAAAAAATCGAAATACTGTGAGAATCGCTTTTAAAGTTGTCCAAATGAAGTTCTTAGCAATGCATATTACTAATCAAAAATTAAGTTTTGATATATTTACAGTAGGAAATTTACAAAATATCTTCATGGAACATGATCTTTACTTAATATCCTAATGATTTTTGGCATAAAAGAAAAATCGATAATTTTGACCCACACAATTTTTTTTGGCTATTGCTACAAATATACCCCAGCGACTTAAGACTGCTTTTGTGCTCCAGGGTCACATTTTAGTTTCATTGTTATTGAGGAAGTCTGACTTAGCTAGAGCTTGAATATTTGAAATAAGGCAATGCCTTTTGTTGTGCAACTTAATGAATTTCTGCAAATGATGAATACTAAACTCAAAATACAGGTCAAGGAGAGACCTGACGTAGGAGTTTACATCAAGGATCTTTCTGGATACGTGGTAAACAATGCTGACGATATGGACCGGATTATGACCCTTGGACACAAAAACCGTGAGTCTATTTGAATTATTTTATTAATTGAAATCTATTAGGGCATGCAGTAAAGTCTTTAAAATGCATCTTGTTTTGTCATGGACATAGATGACTGCTTTATTTCTAATCTAATATTTTAATTAATAATTCTAATATCAATATAGAAATTGTGTTGATCAGAGTAAGAATATTACTTAAGCCGTGGGTTTGGTGCTCTCTAGAGAGGAAGCTCTAAAGATGGCCAGCATTTGTGCTTGTGTTTATTTGTCCTTGCCCAGGTTCTGTGGGTGCGACTAATATGAACGAGCACAGCTCTCGTTCTCATGCTATCTTCACCATAACTATTGAGTGCAGTGAGAAAGGTGTAGATGGAGATCAACATGTGCGCATGGGAAAGCTTCACTTGGTGGATCTTGCGGTAAGCGGCCCACATCATGTGGATGCACTTTACATCGTCTTGGTTTTCTTTCCATTACTGACGGGGATGTTTTGTTGCTCAGGGCTCTGAAAGACAGGGAAAAACGGGAGCCACAGGCCAACGTCTTAAAGAGGCTACAAAAATCAACCTGTCTCTGTCCACCTTGGGAAATGTTATCTCTGCACTTGTGGATGGAAAAAGCACCCATGTGCCCTATAGGAACTCAAAACTCACCCGACTCTTACAGGACTCTCTAGGAGGAAACTCCAAAACCATGATGGTACGATAGTCAGTGTGTAAACTCGTACACGCCTTGGCTTATATAGTATCCCAATTGTTGATTAAATTGCTAGTAAAACTATTTTTTCCACTTGTTTTTATTAAAATTCAGCAGAAATCAGTCAGACACACAGTGCACACAGTAGGATTCTGTTTTATCTCTCTCTTATTTTTGCAGTGTGCAAACATCGGCCCAGCAGATTACAACTACGATGAAACCATCAGTACTCTCCGTTATGCCAACCGTGCCAAAAACATCAAGAATAAGGCCAGGATTAATGAGGACCCCAAGGATGCACTGCTGCGTCAGTTTCAGAAGGAAATTGAAGAGCTCAAGAAAAAACTGGAAGAAGGTACACCGCATCAGTTTTTAGTTGTGTCATGTCTTTGTCAGGGTTGCTCTTCAGGATGTGACTCATTGGCTCTGGTCTGAACCCTGGAGTGCTGCATTGACTACATAGGGATCTTCCCTCTGATGGTCAGTACATAAGACTCAACGCTCACAGTGGATTCTAATAGTTTTATGTTACCGTGTTGCTAAGTTAAAACATATACTAGGGCTGGTAAAATGATTGTTTAAAATTTTAATTGAGATATGCGATGTCTACCAAATTGGCATCAGACGTTAGGGGTGTGCCCGAAGCGTGAAACACATAACGCGTTCTACGGAGCCACTAAAAGGTTAGCCGCTTACTGGCAGTAGCCTGTTGCATTATAGTACATGAAAGTTCACTTACCACATACACAGAGTAAGGAGAAATGTCTGATAGGACGATGGCGAATGATTTGCAGATCCTGAGCACCAATGAGTAATCATTACATAAGAGTAATCCCTTACTTTACTTTTTCAAGGGAAAAGTAATTAAATTTAATTACTTAATTAATTACTTAGTAATTAGTTACACCCAACATAAGTGATATCACACGAGCAGCGAGAGCAATATCACACGAGTGCTGTTTATGTCCGAATAGCAGAACGACATGAGGGTGAGTAATTAATGACAGAATTTTCATTTTTGGCTGAACCAACCCTTTAATTATGCCATCATTTACTCAAACCTGAATGACTGACCTTCTTTTGTGGAACATAAAAGAAGGTATTTTGAAGACTGTTGCTGTTTATGTCCGAATAGCACGAGTGCAAATGTGATTTTACACAACGGTTCAGTAAATAATAAGTTAATATTGTGTTGTATTTTAAACACAATATTGTCTGTTTTTGCTCCGTTTTACCAACAAAAATATTACCTATAAAGCCACAGCAGAACTGTTGTGTGTCTCTGAGCAACACAGCGGTGTTTAGTGTCTGAATGAATCCGCGTTTTGAACGAATCAGATGAATCAGTGATTCAAAGGCCCATTCATAAAGAGAGAGAGCCGTTTACTTCATTCCTGAATGAATCAACCGTTTGAACGAATCGAATGAAAAACTCATAAAGACATTTACCGCCTGCCATTTTGGAGAATATCCGCTGGACGTAAACAACGTATGCTGTTCTGTGTCAGATGAACGAAGGTCTTACGGGTTTGAAACGACATGAGGGTGAGTAATTAATGACAGAATTTTCATTTTTGGCTGAACCAACCCTTTAATTATGCCATCATTTACTCAAACCTGAATGACTGACCTTCTTTTGTGGAACATAAAAGAAGGTATTTTGAAGACTGTTGGTAACAAAGCTATTTTAGTTACCAATGACTTAATGTTTTTTTTGGGTAAATGCATCAGTGGTTGCCCTCTAGAGTGTAGGTACAGAGGCAGAGTATTTATACATGTTTAGTACAGAGACACAATCCCGTACTATGCTTTTTTTATTGCTCAGGTGAGGAGATCTCCGGCTCTGACGGCAGTGGATCAGATGACATGGATGAGGGTGAAGATGGAGGCGAGAAACGCAGGAAACGAAGAGGTATGAATCTCCACTTCCCGTTTCATGACTGGGCAACATTAGTCAGAGAGGTCTCTTAGAAAGATGATGCAGACCGTGGTTTTGGCTTTTAGCCACAAGAGCTGCTTCAAATGATTGTCTTCATAGTCAGGAGTATTTTGTTGTTTTTGTCTTTGAGCTCATTAATGCTGTTTTACAGCAAAACATCAAGACGTTAAACTTTCGTTCAGTATTATTTATAAAAACGTATAAAGTGCAGGTACCCTGATGTCATCTAGGTTTCAATTGCCGGATATCAGAGTATTAGTGAAGGAAGAAACAATGTGGCTTTGGTTTGCTTGTCTAGACCATCAGATCAAATAAATGTAGTTTCATTGTGCGTCATGAACTCAAAACAGTTAATGCCTGGCAATGACTCTCTGTAGTGTGTCTCTGTGCCCACATACAGTCCAACAGTCTGGGACCACTAGTGAAAATACAAGCTAATGCAATTTTTGTCATGCTAAAATGATATTATCAGCCTCAGTTTGAGCAAAACGCTGAAGTGGAAAATTATCACCAATTTCAGGATGTCGTGAGTATTTGATTTTCCCCCTTTTGCTTTAATGACAGCAGTTTGAGCTTCATAAGTTCCACGAGTGTGTGTGAATCATCAAAACTCGTAGCTTTTCACTTTTCAAGATTTCAGAATCAGAAAGGGCTTTATTGGCAAGTATGTTTACACACACAAGGGATTTGTCTTGGTGACAAATGCAGAAAAAATACATGCATTGGTATTAAGGCAATTAAATGAAATATAACACAATAAAGACAATACAATTAAATATAATACAATACAGTAATAAAATATAGAAAATATACAATTGTACAATTTGTGAAAAACATCTCAAAACTTTACATGTGAAAAAAAGCATGTCTGTTTAAGATGTCTTTTTGTCTCTTTCTCTGTATCTTGGTTTTTCTCTGTATCTCTGCCTCTGATCGTTGTGGTGCTGTTGGTTGGTGGTCTTTCAGTCTCTCTCTCTCTTGCAGAGAGTGGCAGCAGTAGTACAGACTCTGCCTGTTGTGTAGCGCAGCACTTTGAGGACAGAGACCAGACTAGTGAGTGGGAGCAGCACATGGATAATGTGAATCATTCCCACCTCTTGTGCTCCCTTGATCACCTTCTTTCCCAAATACACAATCCCTCTTGCACCCAGACATCAGCACAGTCCAGTGATCATGTAAATGTACACTATCATTCAAAAGTTTGGGGTCGGTAACATTAAAAAAAAAAGGAAATGTTTTTGAAAGAATCTCTTAGGTCACAAATGCAGCATCTAATTGATCAAAACACTGTAATATTATATAGTTGTATATCGGCCAAATATTGTCCTATCATAACAAACCATACATCAATGGAAAGCATATTTATTCAGTTTTCAGGTGATTTATAAATCTCAATTTAAAAAAATTGACCCTTATGACTGGTTTTGTGATCCAGGGTCACATATATGTTAAAATGTCATTTATTTCTGTGATCAAGGTTGTCAAAAAGTGTCACATGATCCTTCAGAAATCATTCTAATATGCTGATGTGCTGCTCAAGAAACATTTCTTACTATTATCAATGTTAAAAACAGTATTTTATGTTGAAACTTTTTTTTGTAGGAACTGATATTTTCTGTAGTTTTCAGGATTCTTTGATAAATAAATGGTTCAGAAGAACAGCATTCATATATTATATTATATTTCATATTAATAAATGTCTTTACTGTCACTTTTGATCAATTGAAAGCGTCCTTGATGAACAGAAATATTAAATTCTTAAAAAAAAAAAAAACATATGGACCTCAAACTTTGAATAGTAGTCTCAGCCCACACTGTCTGATGCATATTAGATAAATTACATTAAAAAAAACTTGAATTGTTCTTGAATGCTCAAGCGCCAACGCAGCACCCGCTGCTAATCATAAAATCTACCCATCTTCTAATAACTTTTAATAAACGACACAAATTAAATTATTCAGCAGTCTAGCTTTTATTTTAATTAGCATAAAACAGATGTGTAATAACTTGAATCAGTGGGTAGCAGACTCAGTGACACAGCAGAAGCTGAATATAGGACACCTTCACTTCTTCTGACAGGAACTCTATAAATGGTTCAGGCATCACCTCTTTCAGTAAAACTGGCATCTGATTACTTCATGTTTATCATCTTCCTTTCTGGTGCATCTCACAGTTTCTCTCTGCATCAGCCTAATGATCAGTGACTGCGGTCTTATTTCACACAGACCCAAACCTCGTCTATAAATGGTTCAGGCATCACCTCTTTCAGTAAAACTGGCATCTGATTACTTCATGTTTATCATCTTCCTTTCTGGTGCATCTCACAGTTTCTCTCTGCATCAGGCTAATGATCAGTGACTGCGGTCTTATTTCACACAGACCCAAACCTCGCTCTCGTTAAAAGACATTTAGATGATGATATGATATGTGCTTCTGTTTTCTCTCTTCTTGTGCAATGTGCTGGCCATGTGACTTCTCTGCTCTAAATTCAAGACACAAGAGGTTGGTGTTACAATCTCCTCATCAGCCCAACCTCACGTCACCTCCAGACTATAGACATGTGCTTGGTTTTACCCTGAGTTTTACTGTCTCACATATGAGATGGTCAGACAAAACAAAAACTTAAGTTTTAAAATTAGGTGTGTGAAATTTAAAAGTGCTGTATGTATTTTTTTGGACGGTACTAAAGCATAAAATTACTAATATGTTTGCAGATATTTAGGAAACATGCTAAGTTAACATGCTTGTTTTATCTGAAAATCATGCTACAGCCAGTTATTCTACTTTGAAATGTGCGTTCCGTGTCGGAATGTCTGTTTTTGTTTTGGTCTGTGTGACTCCGCCCACTGCCAGTTTAACCAATAGTATTTCGAAACCCCGGGTTTCCAGTTGGTGGAAAACACAGCGTATTGCAGCCATGGAAGCCAGCAAATGAACTGAGTCAGAGATCGCAGATTCAACCCGACCTAAAAAGCCTCGGCATCCATCTAAAAAGCTCTGTGACCAGAGGAATATTAAAACACAATAAATCAACTCATTAACTTACAGTGTAAGGCTCATCGTCTTCCATTGTCAATTGCGCTCATTCCTGTTTCTCGTCCTCAATCTGGCAACCTGTGTGAGTGTCGAGTCTGAGAAGGAGGGGTGGGAGAAATAACTCTTTCCAATATTTTGAATTTGGACTTTAGTAGCTGTCAGCCATTAGCAATTACATACAGCACCTTTAATTCAATCACTGACAGTGGATATTGTCAGATCTCTAATGTGTCTAATTGATCTCCAAGCTAATTACAGCTCAGTTTGGCATCTTACTTTCCTGGTCCTCCCTCAGTCACAACTGCTCTGAAATCATTAAAGCTTCTTGCTGACTATCAAAAATGTATAAAACCTGCCAAGTTACCTATTTTCATTTTAAAATGGGTTTTAATGTAAAATAATTTAAAATCAGAAGATTCTGAAAAACAAGGGGAAGGTGAGATTGTTCTGATGAGTCAAGCTGGGTGAGAAAGAAATACTGAGCCCTGTATTTTCATAGGGTTTCTTAAACTAGGATGTTTGCATTTTTGTGAGGAAAATGCAGAGGGTTTGTGAGCTAAGCTAAGAATAAATTAAATCATTAAAATTTATAAATAATAAATAATTGTAAAATAAAACCAAATCTCAAGATAAAACACTTACTAAAGTTTTACATGCACATCATGTCACCAGTAACCTACATCAGTGAATTGTGAACATGCAAATGTGTTGTTAAATTATTGAAATATTAACTTCAAGTAAATATTTTAGGTAGAAGGGATTCAGCTGCCAAAATGTTTAGGAGTCCCTGTATTAGTGCCTCAATGATTAGGTAACATTGAGGATGAGTAAAATCTGTTGACATTTTTTGCAGCCACCAGTGAATGCCACATGTTTGTGATACTAATATAATTTCCATTTCCTTAATGCACAATATAAATTGTCTTTTTTTTTTTTTTTGGGTGGATATAAGACCCAAGCATTTCATTGGTGAAATTCACCCATAAATGACAGCAATAAATCACATTGTCAGACACCTCACATGAAAAATGTTGCAACAACAAAGCTCACAACAGGTTTACTGTGCAAACATTGCATCAATCTACAGTGCTGGGTAGTAACTGATTACATGTAATCTGGATTACATAATCAGATTACAAAAATGAAGTACTTGTAATTAGAGTATGTTTTAAAATGCTCATAATCAGATTACAGTTACTTTTTTTTAAGGATTACATAATCGCATATTATTCACACAATAGCAGTAAATTATTCTTAATTATTTCATTCACCCCAGTTCTCATTTGTTTTCTTTCAAATTTTCCTTTCTAATTGAATCTACTAAACACTGCCAACACATAGCTGTGAAATATGTCTTCATCATATGCAATGACCTTTACTAATTATTAATATTGGAAGTCTGGACAAAAATATTTTAAACCTGGACATTTTTTTTTGGCCATGTAATGTCATGTTTTGCATGCTTATTAATGTTTGTTCATGTAATGTAGGGATTCCCAAGCTTTTGACATTTTATTAATTATTAGCTTTTCATGAATGCCTTACAGCTTTTTCATAAACCCCTGCCATTTAATGCATTTTTTTCCCTCTTTTGTTTTTTCCCATTAGTATGGTATGCAGTAATCACATTCAAGTCTAAGTGATGATCGAGTTGGGTCAGAAGTAATCAAAAAGTAATCAGACTACATTACCTTATTGTGTGTAATCCAGATTGTTACTAACTTAAATTTTCATCATGTAAATTTTAATCCGTAACAGACTACAATTTGTTAGTAATCCACCCAGCATTGCATATGGAATATGTGGAAATACTTGATGTAATGTTTATGGTGCCTTGTGAGCAGTATCAGTCACCAGTTTACAGAGAAACTGGGATGTATTTTAGTGGGGTAAGAGATCGCTTGCTAACTGTGCTAGCTTGCATCCGATGCAACATTATTTCTCCTGCTACTAAACGGATGTATTTCAGTGGGGTAAAAGATTACTGCTAACTGTGCTAGCTTGCATCTGATGGAACGTTATTTCTCCTGCTACTGTGCACTTGCATAATGCACAAGTGTTTCTTCTGAGGCTTTTATCTGTTTTTATATCTGTGTCATGCTAAGGGAGGAAGAAGGTGTCTCCTGACAAGATGGTGGAGATGCAAGCTAAGATCGAAGAGGAGCGGAAAGCACTGGAGGCCAAACTGGACATGGAGGAGGAAGAGAGGAACAAAGCGCGTGCAGAGCTTGAGAAGAGAGAGAAGGACCTTCTCAAAGCCCAGTAAGTCATTGAATCTGTCCAACAGATCTGTTGTCTATCTATATATATAGAGCCAATATAGTATAAGTGTAGGAGTATAATAATGGCATGCTTTGTGTTGTTTCCTGCATCTCAGACAGGAGCATCACTTACTACTCGAGAAGCTGTCTACTCTGGAGAAGAGGGTTATTGTTGGTGGAGTTGATTTACTGGCTAAAGCCGAGGAGCAGGAGAAGCTTCTGGAAGAATCCAACAATGAACTGGAGGAGAGGAGGAAGAGGGCCGAGCAGCTCCGGAGAGAACTGGAAGAAAAGGAGGTAGAGCTGAGCGGATTCATGCTTGACCGATATTCTTGTATGGTTTTATCATTACATAGTGATTCATGTTTGCAAATGTCTCTAAACAGCAAGAGCGCTTGGACATCGAGGAGAAATACACCAGTTTACAGGAAGAAGCTCAAGGCAAGACCAAGAAACTGAAGAAAGTGTGGACCATGTTGATGGCAGCAAAATCGGAGGTGCAGTAAATTTCATGTAGCTTTCAAATAGCACAGTTCACAATTGTGTTGTCAAAAGTACAAGTATAATTTTAAAAACGTAATGATACCAGCCTTTCTGCAGTACCTTGAACTAGTCAACATAAAAATGTAACCGCTACATGATTCAAGTAGCATTTTCTTTATTAACCGTCTAGTTGAAGAAAGTGCAGCACACGTGAAGTTCCACATGGTGTAAATGTAAAACAAATCACTTGATAAATATCTTTGCAGAAAAGATGCATGAAATATGAAGGCACATAAACCTATGTTTAGAAATAATATAAGAAAAATGCTAAAAAAAAGTCTTAAAAGTCAAGGTAATTAAAATTCAAAATGACTAAAAGCGAAACACAAGGAGATTATTATTAACTATAAATGTTTATAAAAACAAAGAAAATAACAGCAGCCAGTCAGCATCATGCAGACATGAAATATCCGACATACAGAAGTATTTACAGGTATACAGTTATTTACAGGTTTATGTATTCCACTGCTTTTCCACTGCTGCTAGTGTGTATATATATATATATATATATATATATATATATATATATGCATAATTTGCAATGAACTTGATAGTTTGGTTTTTAATTGGATTAATGGCATTCATGTGTTTCTTTGTTGTTTCATTACTTTCATTTTATCTTTAAATGCAATGTTTACATAATTGAACAATATTTGAAGGCTACTTACTAATGTTTTAACGTATTATGTATTTAGAAATATTAATAGCATATTCTTATTTTCAAAAAAAAACAAAACAAAACAAAAAACAATTCAAATAAAATGGTAACAAAAGTTTTTTCAATTTTACCAAAATAGAGTACTGTTGAGTTTAACTGGTACTTGTAACCGACTACTGAACTTCTGGAATCGAGACTGTAGTAAGTGAGACTCGCGTCACCAAAGACTCGAGGTGCGGTTATGAGTATATCAGATGACCAATTCCCACCTGGCTCAGTTCAGAGCGCCAGTCAAGGACTGTTACTTTGGCAATATGGGGGTGCTCCCCACAAGCGGTTCAACAATTTGATATTCACAAACTGGAGGGAGTTGGTCAACTGATTTATCTGAAACATTGGTGGTTTAGATAGCTAGAGCCTTGGATCATCAACACAAAGAAGACACAATTGTAATAAGATTAGTGAAATTTATTAGCAATAGATTAGGGCTGGGTTTTGACACAAATTTCACGATTCGATTCTCATTCACAAGCTTGCGATTCGATATCGATTATTTTGGATATATATCAGGTACAGTACATGCCAAATTTTCTCAAGGAAAAAAAAAATCTCTCAACTAATGCTGTAAAATATGCATGAGAGTCAATTGGTACTACATTATAACATTGGTTAAAATGGACTGATTTGTGCTGTACAACTGCTTAAATTGCACTTAATGAAGTTTTTATAATAATTAAGTTACAATTACTTAAAACAGTAAAAAATTATATTGAATGTTATATGGTGCATATATTTAGCAAAATGCCCCTCTCTGCAGTTTATTTTTCTAGCTTCTAGTTTATGATCACCGAATATGTTTGTTTCTGAGGTAAATGTGGCGTTATGTGACATTGTTTACAAGCCGTTATATTGGCGTCTTTGCGTGGCTGAAACACTGATTGAGCGATTACATGAGACAGAATACGGCTTGTAAAGTTGTACCCTTTCTTTTAACTTACCTTTGTTGCTGTTGCATCCAGAGATCTGGAGGAATTTGTATGGCAGTCATTTCCTAAACCTCAGGATTGGGTGTGATAGTGAGGGTCAACCCGTAGTCCAATGAGAAGTCCTCTTTTAGGTGGTCGTGAGTGTGATGCAGCCATTTGAAGTAGACCTGTCCCATGTTTATCTGGCCTACACTGAGGAGAGCATGAGACAGTCCCTAATGAAACTAGAAAGGCCTCGGACATCAAAGAGTGGAAAGTCCAGGCCTAAAACTGGTCGTAGGTGAGGTGTGATGCTTTGTTTTATTTTTGGACTTTCTGATTCACACCTTTGCACACACAAATGCATCTGACTGTTACAACTAGTTACAGTTAAATAATCTTTCAGTTTAGTTTAATACGTGATGCATTAATAAGTTGTATGATTTTAGATGTTGTATACAGGTATATGTAATTGCTGAAATGGGCACTATAAGCATATATAAAAATTGTCCAAAATTATATATATATATATATAGAATGTATTGAATTATTTCATGTAGTAATAATAATAAAGCATGTCTCTTTGGAGTTGAACATGAGTGATCCTGAGTCAAACATCACTGCATTTCTTTGCAGTTTGGCATCTATATGTTGTGAATTTTTTTTTTTTTTTTTAAGTCTCTTATGCTCACAAAGTTTGCATATATTTGATCCAAAAAAAACTATTATTATTATTATTACAAATGATAAATTTTAAATAAATATAAATATTGAAATATCTGTTTTCTATTTAAATATATTGAAAAATGTAATTTATTCCTGTGATCAAAGCTGAATTTTTAGCATCATTAGTCATGTGTCACATGATCGTTCAGAAATCATTCTAATATGCTTATTATATTTGCTGCTCAAAAAATATATTTACTATTATTATCAATGTTGAAAATAGTTGTGCCACTTAATATTTTTGTGAAAAACCAAGATATTTTTTTTTTTTTTCAGGACACTTTGATGAATCGAAAGTTCATAAGAAAGAGCAGTATTTATTTGAAACCGAAATCTTTTGTAACATTATAAATGTCTGTCACTTTTGAACAATTTCAGCAATTATGAATTGAATATGTAAATGCAAACCTCTTTAGATCATCTAAATGACATCATTTTTGTCATGTGCATATATTTTTGTCAAAATGTCTTTTTTCCCCAATCTTACTGTTTTTAGGAAACGTTCCTCCAAACCAGAGGCTGCGATTGAATCACTGCTGCAGTGAGCCTTGCGTCTGATGAAGACCACCATATTTTGTGCATTTTCAAGGCCAGTCCAGTATATGTCTTAGGAAATACTGATTCTTGTGACATTAAGGCACTTTGACATAAGTGGATATGAAAATAAATCATGTGTTAATATGCAGGAACTCCAGAGCTGCTCCAAAGCTGGGTTTAGGTGAGGATAGTTTGCTGTAAAATGTCTGTTAATGATAGCACTCCAAAAGGCACATTTCACCTTTAACATAAACACTGTTACTGTATATTCTGCTTTACACTGATGGCTGGGGCGAGCGAGTTATTGATCCGACACAAGAGATGAGCTTGCCATCAGGGAATATGCTATTGAGAAACGAATCGAATCTTAATGTTTTATACAGTTGGCAGCGTGCAATTGCTTTAGCTCAGTGTACACAAGCTGTGCTACTTTTTATATATATATATATATATATATATATATATAGTGAGAATGTGCATGCCATGTTCCCCTGGCTGTGGTGCCATTAGCTCAGTTTACTCTTATTGTAATGTATTTCCATTGTGCACTGTAGTAAACCATTAGTCTTATGTAATATGTAAAAATGTTTACATTTTTTTGTTTTTTTCCCCCCCTGTACTTCTCTTTAAATTATTAAATTATTTTACAAAGTAAAAATAGTAGTGTTTTTTATTAATAATAATTTCACATTTCAAAAACAACAAACAAAAAAATCAGTTTAGAATACTTTTATTCATAAATACAATAAATATGAGCAAATACCTAAATATATTTAATACAAAATAATTTAATATTAATGTTAAATTTAATACAAAATAATAATACAAAAATATAGTATTGTGTTCCTAAGAAGTAAGTCTAGAGTCATTTCACGTGTCTTTTATGCTTGAGTTTAAAGTATAGTTCTTGGCAGCATTTTTTGATTTTTGTCAGAAAAACTTCCATTCTGTGTTCCTCTGAAGCTGGAACGCTGCAGTGATGGTGCTGTGGAGAAAAAAAAGAGTCTAAAGTCAGTCTATAAATCTAAAGTTGTAGGCATAGCTAATTCTCTGAAGCTGTAAAACAGATGTTATTTAAATTGATTATTAGAAACTATATTGTGTTATTTCCTCTGCATGTGCCACTGTTCAGTCCGGAATCCTGTGAAAATCTTAATTGAATCAGTAGTCAGTTAAGTTAAGCTTAGTTAAGTCTGTCGTTAGTGAAGTCATGCTTAGTTAAGTTGGGCTTAGTTAAGTCAAGCTTAGTTAAGTCAGTCGTTAGATATGTTAAGCTTAGGTAATTCTGTCGTTAGTTATGTTAAGCTTGGTTAAGTCAAGCTTAGTTAAGTCAGTCGTTAGATATGTTAAGCTTAGTTAAGTCTGTCGTTAGTTATGTTAAGCTTGGTTAAGTCAAGCTGGACTTAGTTAAGTCAAGCTTAGTTAAGTCAGTCGTTAGCTATGTTAAGCTAAGTTAAGCTTGGTTAAGTCAGTCAGACCAGCTTTGCGCTTCAGTTTGGTGATACTAGTGGGGCAGAAATAACCGATAGTAGTGGAAAAATGGAAATGACATTTGATAATTTCTAAAGTGTAAGAATCATGGCGATAATATAGCATTGTTTTTTCACACAGAATGATACTCTAATAATACAGACACAGTATAGTAATCGTGTTGTTTATCATCTAATTCAACAAATTAATATTGTGAGATGGCTTACCCCTGAATAATTAGCATAGGCAAGCAGTCGCCTGTGTAGCATGCTGAGCTTTAGATTTGTGTTCATCATAACCATTGCTGCTTGGCAAAGGTGTTTCTCCTGTGTAACCATATGCAATGAATGATAATGAAATCAAGTATGTTCTCAAAAACTGTGATATAAAATTCAACTTACTGAGCAGCCCGCCGACGGAAATACGTCTTTTACAAATTGGTTGAGATTCTGTGTAAGAAAGTATGAAGTTTGTTAGAGAAAGAAAAAAAAACACAGTTTGGCTCTTCAGATGAAATAAAATTTCAGTTCTTACCATCTTTGATCTTTGTTTTAGCATCACGTCCACATTCTCCATGATTTCCTCTAGGAGCTTTTCT